TGAACTTGTTTGAAGTGAAAACTTGTGTCGATCCATAACAGTCACGAAGGACCAGAAACATGTCCATTCGCTTGTACTGCAGCCAGCCACAAAGGATCACCTCCTTGCCGACGTCTTTCGCACGCAGCTCACCACAGGTATGAGTGCGGTACGCAAACCGACTCGTCGCCACGTCGGTCAGCAATCGATGGATATCGAACGTAAAACACGTCTTCACTAAGGGGGACATTGTGAAAAGTCTATACAATCCATGAATATGCAAAATAATGCCTCGATATGCATCCATGAACAATGGCAGAAGCGTTATTGTGCTAGATCACAAAAAAAGACGATGCCTAAACGGATAGAATATATTTACCCCTACGGAAGGGCGACATTAGTGAGAACATGAACGAAAACAAAAGATACGAATTCAACGCGGCCACAAACCAACCAACTATTAAAATAGCATCTTGCCTCATGGCTCGAAACATTCCAGTTATTGCAGTCGGAAAACAATGGCCAAAGATCAACTGCTTCTTCCTGAAGAAGGAGCGTTCGATATAGTCCTAAGCATCAGCAATAGTCTACCATTCGGTAGATCAACAGTTAGCGCGATGCAAAATAAATATAAATAAATAAATATATTCTTCAGTTTAGCTTGTTCTGTTTTAGTATCACAAGCTATTGTCGATGACTTTTAACACCATCGACGATCAACTGGTTATAATCTCAATTTCATAAACGTTTTGGAGTAACGGTCATCTGTAATTGAAAATTTTGGTGTCAAGTTACTTATGTATGGATACCATAGGAAAAATACCACAATTACCTCCAATGCGGCCTATCCGTGTTACGTGTGTTGGCACATGGTCTAAGAGGCCTGATTCGAACTCTGGAGATGCCGAGTTCGATTCCGCTTGAGGTTATCTGTCTTCCCGAATTCCCTTGAGCAAGTAATTTACGACGCCTTGCTTCAGACCGGGGTTGCTCAATCAGTAGAGCGTTCAACTCAGAACCGACAGGTCCCAAATTCAAGCTTCAATCAGGACCATTCACTCTTCTTCCTTCCCAGGTTGATAAATGAGTGGGAAGGAAACAGAAACTACACGCTACGCTCGTCACATGGTTGTAGACGCATTCTGTGCTCTGAACTGATCACGTAACGAAGGTCATGCACTGGCCTGCTTTAACAGCGAAGCGGAGCATTACCATGAAGCAACAGAACTTAAGTGATGCTGAAGAAAACGGTGCGAACGGTATTAAACACAAAATGCAAAAATAAAATTTACTGGCAACATAAAATTCCAACAGAACAACTGAGAACATCAAAGAAGAACTTCGCCATAGCCGGTAAGTCGGGAGGAGAACAGCCGAACGGCGCAAGACATGAGTTTAGACGGGTAGTCAGTGGCAGAGATGGAATCAAGAAAGTTTTTTGTTTCAACTGAGTCCCAGGCATTCGTTCCTATGCCGCAGCCAAGCAGCTTACTTTTATCTGGAAGTTCGTTCATCCAAGCCTCTTTAGCCGACGACTTTTTCGACTTACACACCAGTTGGGCAGCACGTTGCTCGTCGCACGAATGCACACCGCAAACGAACGATGTGAACACCTTGTTCGCATCTTCCTGCTCCCAAGGGAAGCAGCTGCGTCCGCGAAGAGCACGAGACAATGCCGCTCTCTGTTTATAAGTTTCGATGAAAAGCACCATCAGTCGTAAAGATTCTGACTCTTTTTTGCTAACCACGGCTGAACGAGAGATTGCCTTCTTGGCAGCATTGTAATAGAGGTCAAACAGTTGATTTAAAGTCAACGTTTCATGCGGGATTACGGACTTAGTCACGTTCCTTGAAACACAGTCGGTCCTAGGCACATCTGACTGCGACTGGTCACTAAAATAGAAAAGGCATAAAATATTTTTAAAGCTTCATAAACAGGATAGTATATATAAACTGATCAAGACAAAGGTGGACCCTCTCAGCAAAGGTGCAAGGAAGATGGTCAAGATGAGTTCAGTGACCAGATGGTTCAAGTACATCGAGCCAACAGCGTCATGTGATCTTGGAATCGAGCCCAAGGACCTTACCCAGCGGTTGGTGCATGATCAGGCGTTTTAGCAAAACCACTTGCAACAACTGTCCGTGTTCTGAAGGGAATAGAGGGTTTATGAAACAAATAAACGAAGGAATGAAAATTAGTTAAAATGAGTTACAAAAAGTTAAAATAAGTTGAGTCATTATTTGCAACAACCATTTCTATTTAGTATAACAGTAGTACAGTACTGCAGCAACCCTCTCTTCCAAAGATCTACCAGTCATAAAATTAATATGCGGACTTGATAATAATACCATGATGCAAACACTATTTGAGTGCTGCAAAAACTACCAAACATTTATACTTTTGTTTTCCAAAATCTTCGCTGCCTAAGCTTATCACTTTTCTTCAAACCACGACCCCTCTGTCTCAGTGCGGGCAAGGATAATAAGTCAAATGCGAACGAAATTTAAGGGATCCGATATGGCGAAGTATGGTCTGAATTATCTAACTGCTACGACGAACTCAACACTGAAATGACCAGTCAATCAATATTTAATGGTACTTGATTCGGAGAAATATCCAGGTCTATTGTGTCAAATGATCATCTAACTTCACACCTAGCCTCAAAAACCATAACTATGTTCCTCGCTCAGAAAAAAATACCAATTACACATACGTCTATAAAGTAAACAGAAGCTACCGACGAGGGCGAAGAGATTGCACCACCTAATGAAGCATAATGAACTAATAATGGGCCTTCTGAAGAGCTGTAATGTTTTCTTCTTGACCATACAGTACATTCATCTTGGCATCATATCCTTTATCGTCATCAGTACTGCACAGCTAAATTATGTCTTCTTCATTATTCAAGTTGTAGTATCTTCACCGATGAATGCCCATATAGAAGTTTGTTGTTAAAGTTGCGTAGGTTTAAGAGCGTACAAAGTGTTTAAGAGCATAATAAGTGTTTATAAAATATGGAAAGGTTAATAAGAGCGTGGGGAAGGCTTATAACCCTTTAA